TGCTTCCTTTTTTTTTTAAGATGAGTTGAAGAAGCAAAGTTCATGCTTGATACATCTTATTGACAAGTCCAAGCAATTTATTGCTCTCAAGGTGGAGTATTCCAAATGAATCTCCTGATACATCTTATCAATAAGCCTAAGCAATTTATTGCTTTCTACTACTTTGTGTACACCAAACTACTTTTATCATATAATCCTACTCGTGAAGTTACCGCAGTTCTTAACTGGTTAGTTCAACTTTATTCGTAAATAACCATCTAGCTTTATTTAGGCAAGAGGTGACCGTGCAGCTTTTATCATGTCATGTTAATAAACTGTTTATAATTTTGGAACATTTTTTCACATTTCACCATTAGCTATAGATTTCATGATCCGTTTATTTATGGTTGCACATTAATGGAACTTTTAGCTCACTGTTTAGAAATTTTGTTAATAGTGCCAATTGTCAATTTCGAACTCTAGCCTATAGAATACTGTTTTGTTCTTGCTTAATTTTAAATAAAGAAAAAATGGGTGGTGGTGTCACTTTATACTTTAACTGCATCAAGAGCAGTCCAATGTCTATTACATTAAGGATTCAAACATTCATAATGTCTTTTGTTTTATAATTATTTCATGCCACATCAAAGAAATATGACATATATTTTTTTCTTTTTATATTTTAGTGGAATTTGTAAAAGTTCATATTTTTTTATTTATAAGAAACAACACTTTTATTGAGGATAATGAAAAAATATATAAAGCTACAAAAATGCCTTCATAAGGGCATACAAAAAAAAATAGCCCTAAAAGAGAAGCCCCTTAAAGAAAATGACTCCAATCCAAAAGAATAAGGCCTAGTATATAATTACAAAATGGCTTAGAAACCGAGCCTCATAGCGAAGTGTTGAATCCAACGATATCCCAAATAGTCCACAGATTTTCCACCCCCTAAACAATCTATATGATTCCTTTCCAGCCAAATACCCTATAAAATAGCTAGAAAGCAAGTCTGCCACAAAAAACGACCCTTATCACGAATATTCGAGTATAAAAGCACCTCCTCCATCATAGCCCTACAATACCTAGCACGAACCCAGGACATCCCAAAACACATAAAGAAACGATGACAGAGATCCTAAGCAAACTGACAAGTCCACAACAAATGATCGAGGTCTTCTGAGGCACTCTTACAGAGAACGCACAACTGTGGATTCAAACAAAAGGCCGACATTTTCTGAATACGATCCAAGGTATTGACTTTTCCAAGAAGGACTTGCCACCCAAAGAACTTGATCTTCTTAGGAACTTTAATCTTCCAAAGAGAGGTGAACCAATCTTACAAAGAGAGGCACTCCCTTATGTTTATGTGTATCTGAATAAAACAATTTCTTATTAAAAAAAAAGGTATTTAAAACAATGCTTCTCCTTGTCTAATTGAATTGGAATGGGATATTCATGTTTTAATTTAGGAAATTATTAAGATGAAATTGGGCCAATTGGAGGCACCATATTTATCTTGCAAGTGTCGTGAATTTATCTGGTTTTCTCTTTTTACTTTTCCATAAGATGATGTTGAAGCAGATTTGTTAATGTTTGGGATAGTTCCAAATTACACTCGATGGACAATGCATGGTGAACAAAGTTTATCATATGGATTAGGAGAAAATGATAATGACTCTGATGATGAAGATATTTTTGAAATACTACAGGATCATTTTGGTGTTTTTGACACCAATAATTGGACTGATAAAGGAAAATCAAGTAAACATGGTTATAATGATGAACCAAACGAGGAAGCTTCTAAGTTTTATAGATCGTTAAATGATACATAAAATTAACTTTATCCTGGGTGTAAGAGATATTCTAAGTTTGTCTTTTATCATGAACTTGTTTCACCTCAAGTGTCTTGGCAATTGGAGTAATAAATCATTTACTTTATTACTCAAATTATTAAAAGATGTATTCCCAGAAGGCACTAATCTACCTAATAATTACTATGAGACAAGAAAGATCACTTGAGACCTAGGAATTAAGTACTCTAAGATATATGCATGCTTGAATAATTGTGTGCTATATTGGAAGTAAAATGCTAAGGCATATAAATGTTATGTTTGTGGAGAATCTAGATAGAAGCTAGACAAAACCTCTAAAAAGAATAAGGTTCAACAATTCTTATTAAAAAACAAGAAAAATGTTCCACGGAAGGTTTTGCGATATTTTCCTCTAACTCCAAGATTAAAAAGATTCTATATGTCAAGAAAGACAGCATCAAATATGACATGGCATTTTAATGGACGAGTAGATGATGGAGTTCTTAAGCATCCTGCTGACTCCATTGCTTGGAAAATACTTGATGAATCATATAGTTTATTTGCTTCAGAGCCTCGGAATGTTCGACTTGGTTTGGCCAGTGATGAAATTAATTCATTTGGAAAGTTTCTCTCATAGCGTATGGCCCGTCATTCTCATTCCATATAATTTGCCACCATGGATGGGTATGAAAGAGCCTTATTTCATGCTATCATTACTCATTCCTAGACCTAAAGGTGCTCGTAATGGCATTGATATCTTTTTATAACCATTAGTCGATGAGTTAAAGGGGTTATGGGAGGTTGGGATTGAAACTTACGATGCTTCACTAAAGCAAAATTTTACAGTGCATGCTGCATTATTATAAACCATTAATGATTTTCCAGCATATGGAAACTTATCTGGTTGGAATACAAAAGGTACCCTAGCTTGTCGTACATATAATTTTGATACTTTATCACTTTATTTGAAAAATAGTGGGAAAATATACTACATGGGTCATTGTCGTTTTTTACCTTTAAACCATGAATGGAGACTACAACAAGAGTTGTTTGATGGGCATATTGGAGAAGAATTGCCTCCTAAGAATTTGTCTGGAAGTGATATACTTGAACAAGTGAATCGATTTGAAAAACATACATTTGGCAATAGCGTGAAAAAGAGGAAACATGCTAAAAACTGGTTGAAGAAAAGTTTATTCTTTAAGTTACCTTATTGGGGCACTCTAATGCTGCGACATAATTTAGATGTCATGCAAATTGAAAGAAATGTATGTGAAAATGTGATTGGAACACTATTGAATATTAAAGGGAGGACAAAAGATAATTTGAAGTCTCGTCTTGATCTCCAACAAATGGAAATAAGAAAAAAAATTGCATCCAATACAACATGAAAACAAATTGTACCTGCCCAGCTTCAGGTTGTACATTATCTTTAGATGAGAAAAATGCATTTTGTGAGTACTTCAACACACTAAAACTTCTAGATGGATTCTCTTCTATTATCGTTTGGTCTTAACAGTCAGGACTATCATGTCATTATGGAATATTTGCTCCCATACGCATTACAAGGATGGATGAAGAATGAAGTACGAGACGTATTGATTGACTTGAGCAATTTTTTTACGATTTTGTGCTCAAAAGTTGTTAAAGTGGATGATATAGATATTATTGAGGATGAAATTATAAGAATTCTTTGCAAAATGGAATTGATGTTCCCACCATCATTTTTTGACGTAATGTTACATATATTAGTTCATTTGCCAAATGAAGTTAGAATTTCTGGACCAATTCAATATAGGTGGATGTACCCATTTGAAAGATACTTAAGTAAGCTAAAGGCTTATGTGCGTAGTCGAGCTCATCCTTAAAGAAATTTCTATTCTTTTCAACACTATAATTCAGCTACACACCTTACTAATGATTGTCATTGCACCAATAAAAAAAAATACAACTTGAAGTAACATCACAACCTAGAGTTTATTTCAATTTCAAGTATCAAAAAAGAATCATTTCATTCTAAAATGAATAGTAACATAAAGTTGGTTACAAATTACCACTAAAACGGGAAGGAATAATGGGTATACGAGTTTCTTATACAGTGACATAATCCACTTTCAAGTTACAAATTTCCAATCACTAGATATATTATTATGATTTTTTTTAAATTTTTCACCGTATAACAAGATCTCAAATACAAAGGAAATAGTAAAATTTTAGGAAAAAATCATTTAGATTTATTTTGGACAGTCTATTTCTTTTTCCTCTAAAAAAAATCTTGATAGTTCTGCCCAGACGCTCTAAATAAAATCCATTTCCGTTGCTGGAGACTTTGTTTATTCATTTTCATTGACAATATTATAAAAAGAAAATTCAAGCCATCCAGTTGTTTTGGTGGCCTTCAATATATATATTTAGACATTTCTTTAGGTACGTTGCACACAATACATCTATATATTATTTATCTAATTCCACATGCCCTTGGTCCCAATGTGGATCCGCCCCGGGAGAGAGTTGGTGGAGTCCAGATTAGACAAACATTGGGGTAAATATTCCAAGCTATGAATTGAGAAACTAGGGGAGTTCTTCCTCATTACATAATTCTTCCTCATTGTGTAATCTTTTCCTTGTCTCAATACAAACATCAATTTGATGTAAAGGATAACAAAAAATCTAAAATCCTAGATGAATAAGGACTACAAAGTAAATTCTCCTCAGTGGTGCATTATCTGCAAGGCCAGCTTGCACTTTTGCTACTGATTTTTGGAGGACCGTCCTCAACGCTTTCGGTTGGTCCACAGCCTTGTCTAATGACCCCCAACTTCTTCTTGAGGCCACTCTTGTCGGGCACTCTTTCAAAAATGAAAAAGAAAAGCTTTGGACGAATTTTATTCGTGCTTTTCTCTGGACTACATGGGTGAAAGAAATCAATGACCTTCAACGACAAGCCACAATCTTTTGAGCGTTTTTTTGATGCTATAGTTTATAAAGTTGTCACTTGATGTAAAAGCTCCCCTATTTTTCATCACTGTAGTAGCTACATTCCCTCTTGACTAATTGGAAGTATCTTATGTAACCCTCCGACGGGCTTTTTGTAATTTCATACATGAATGGAATTTTTTCTTACACACAAAATAAGAAAAAAAAGGTGAAAATATGATGCAGACATTTATTTTCTTTTACAACTCATTGATGTGCTAAAAGGCAAANTTCTTCCTTCATCTTCTTCTCCCACCTGCGCTTTTTGTATTCAAGCAACATGTCTGGCATCTTCTCCATCAATCTAGCAGTGTTTTCTCGTTTTTCGGCAGCTATTCGATCACATTTGTGCCCCTTCCTCTTGGTTCTCATCTCTTTCCTCTCGGGATCAAATGGCCAATCTTGCCCAGCAACAAGTACTTCCTTGCGAAGTCTGGCTCGGTGACGTGCGCTTATGCCCAGTGGCTTCCATGCGCCTAGTTCCCAGTAACCCCAGATGCCTTTGGATAGCTCATTTTTGTATTTGGCCAACTTCTCCTGCCATGGATACTGATACTCGCCGATGGCCTTTGCCATAGCTTTGGCAGCTTTGCCTGCCATTCTCTCTTGAAATGTTTCTGCTTGTCAAAGACCAAAGCAGGAATAAAATAACCCATTTATCCCGTCAGAAAGAAAAAGGTATAGAGAAGAATTAAAATGTAGAAAACAGATTCTATCTACTGTTGTGTAAGAGTAGAGGCATCAAGTTTCCTAATGCTTATTTCAGACAAATAAATTTATCATGCCTAAAGTTGTTACCTACCCAGCATTTAACATTTCCATACGCACTAAAGTTACCCAACAAAACCACAAAGTGACAAAGTTCAATCTAAAAAAATCACACTAATTTGCAATCATATAATCCAGAATCCCGACTAATCACTCTCACTTCCAGCTACTGAAGAATGAAATCAGTCCCCATTTCCATGAAATAGGCAAGACAAACGAAAAAAATAGAAAGCACACAAAAATAACCACCAAACTGAAAGCCCTGATTTCTGTGGTGAATTGGAAATAGAAATACAAACAGAATCTTAAGCGGGAAGAAACATTTAGCAACCATCATAAAGAAAGAGAAGAATAACCAATTCATGTGAGATAGGCCAAAAGGTCCTCTCTTCTGAAATAAATCAAGTATTTAATCTTTCCTGAACAAAAGACCAAAGAAAAAATAAAAGAAGACTAGACTTAGAGCACAAACGATAGATGAAGATTAAAGAAGACTTCAAATCAGTGAGGTTTCCTATGAAGAAGAAAAAAAGTTCCAAGAGACATGCTGAAAATTGAATAAAGATATGACAAAACATAAAAAGGATTTTGAAAAGAAGAAACATATTAAACATGCCTGAAAGAAAACGAATAACCTAAAACAAATTTCACAAAAGATTCAATCACCAATAAATCTCAAGAAATTCCTTCACCAAGTTCCGTCCAGCCTTTGCTTCAGTCACAAAGTTAATCAAGTTGTTTTATATCAGAATTTCAAAAGCACTAATTTGGAATCTTTAGCTTAAAAGAAATGAGAGAATTCTTAACTTTTACATCCTCTTACTTTCATCAAATCTTGCTTCAAACTCAAGATCGTTGACTCACTTCCATCACAGAAAAATTTACAAGTACGATGCTCATTTCACTTGACATCTAAACATAAATGTCTAATTAGCCATTCTATTTGTAAAATTTAACTGTGGTTCTAGCTTCCATAAGACAGAAAGAAAAATCTACATATTCAAAAAACTATGTTCCCATTGAAAATATTCTCAAAGGACACATCATTTTTTAGTCATAAAATTTAAAACTTACCAAAAATATTTCAAAATTTATAGAGTTCAGAGTTCTATAGCAACAATACTTCAATCATTGAAAATATAAACAACAAAATAATAATATTTCAAAAGGTGTCGCAATGTCATCGTGACAAGGTGCAGCCGACGTCATCTCCTAAAGGGCCTCTTTCAAAAGAAGAGGTTTGAGGTCGCCACCAATTAACTATGAGTGTTGTTAGTCACCTAAACAAAATGGTCTACGAAAATAGATTTATGGTTCGGGAGTGGTTTGAGTGGAGGGAAGGTATTAGCAACCAACAAAAGGAAAAATAATTTTTGTTTTATTTTTAAATATCCAATTTTTTATTAATTAACACTTTATTACAAAAAATATGAATCAATAGCTATGGAAGATCATTAGAAAATTTGATCACCTCGGAGACTTGTTTCCAGTCTCCGTCATCAAAGTTTTCGAAAGAATTTATTTTTGTTTGTTTATTAATTTGAACTCTTTTTTCTTAAAATGAATGTAGATTTGAAAACTTGTTTTTCTTTTGAAAGCTTTTTACTTCTTTTCGAAGGTGTTAAAGCTTTGTATTTCAAAAATTATTTCTTTTGATTATCCTTATTAAAACTTATTTTAAATTTTTATTCTTTCTTTTAAAATGTTTTCTAACTTTATTTTTAGAACTTTATTTCATTTTTCTTGCTAACAAAAATCGAGGAAGATTTAAGGATTTTCATGCAGGGACGAAAGTCTTTAAGGATTTAAGGATTTTCATTACACAGCCTTCAATTGTTTTAGAAATATAAATTCAAAGCATATGCAATCGATGAATTCACATTAAATTTTAAGACTCATAACTAGAAAGAATGAAACAACTTGAACCTAATCTACCAATTTTCAGCAAAACAATACAGTAAAAAACAGCCCTAAAATCCTCATTTTTTAGCGAATGTAACATGTAAAACATCCCCAAATTACTCAATTTTCAGCCCATGATAACATGTAAAACATCCCAAATTAGTCATTTTTTCAGCAGGCCATAAATATGAAAACAGTACCTATATAACCAAAATCTCATAAAAACTCAAATACACATAAGCATCAGAACCACAAACAACCCATATACTCACATAACCCCATATCTACAAATAGTCAAATACTCAGTTTCACAGCATACTGAAGTACTTAAAAATTTCAAAACTTAAAGCTCAAATCACAAAAATCCGCCACTGAAATCACAAACAATCCAGATAAAATAGTAGCCATCCTCGGATCTAGAACTACATTATTAGAAATTTTACTCACTGCTTACCTATGGATTTATGTTCACCAGTCGAGGAGCGTCAAAGATTTGCCCGGGCCGCCGGAATTCGTGGAGGAAAGAAACGCGCCGATTCTGCTCGGGTCGCCAGATGTGCTGCTGCG